TAGAAAATCGGCTTAGATCCGATATTTGACAATAAAATTATGTCTAGTCGGAACTACAAAATATACACATCTCTTACTTAAACCAATATCCACAAAACTCAAGATTCTAAAAATAAATCATATTTTTTACATGAACAAAATATAGAGACAACAAAAATTAAACAACTAACCAATTCATCAATATTTAGTGGTATTTTGTTTATTTACCGAATTCATCCAAAAACATAATTTTTATTTTTACATGATTAAAGCATAACTTAATCCTATGTATTACAAAAACATTGCTATATACAAATTAAAAATGAAGATAAATAAACAATAATTAAAGTAAATAGTGGAGGTTAGTAGGAGTCAAGTTTCAATTGGTCAATATCTAATGTCTATAAAACCACATGTCACAACTGTCTCCCACCTTCTGATGTATGCATGCTTATACATGAATTTGAATGATCCATGGATCCGAGGTTCTAATTATATACAAATTCCACCCATATATCTATTAAAACAAAATTAATAATAGGCAGGATTCGATTTGAATACCACAGAATTTAGACCAGTCCAATCTTAAAAGATGGATAGTACAATCTATAAGAATGATCTTGTCTGTTACATTCCAACCACCCAAAGTGTATGCACTCTATATCATGTTAAGTTTTTGATAAACTTATCATGCTGTAAAACGAAATTTCTTATATAGTATTTAGTGACAAAGTACTACTAATGCCATCACTTTGCCATAGTTTATAAATTTTAATATTATGACGTTTTTTGGTAACATACATATTGTATAAACATATGATAATATAACTTCTTACGTTTATGAGTGAGTGCCATTTGTCACTTAAAAACTCTTTTATCAAAAACACTACTTATTAACACCAAAATAGTATTGAGTTTACATGTTTTTCTTATTTTGTTATGAAAAGTTTATAAAAGTGTAAAAATATATTAGTCGTAAAATCTTTCTATACTAAATTTACCTAATTCTTGAAATGAAGACCCAATCATCATTATAAATATAATACTGATACTAATTATTACTGTGACAACGTAATTTGCTTGATTCACAAACTTGTACGAGCATTTCTTTTCTCAACCACTCCACTATATCGTTTAGACCTGAAATAACAATATTTTATTCGTAAGAAAGTATAATTTTGATAGAAATTAACGTCACTTTTTTATACTGATAGTGATAGTAATTCAACTAGTGAACTTGAATAGCTCTACTAGCATAACATGCCAAAGAAGCACCATTTTGTTCCTACATTCTTTCTTATTTTAGTACTATTTGATTAATAAAGTTAAAAAAAGTTTAACAGTTTCAAATGTAAATTGTTAATAAGGATGACAACCAATATTAAAAAAATGCAGTATTTATGTTTCGTTCGTTTTAGCGAATATCAAAATTTTTTAACTATTTTGTTTCAAAATAAGTTTAGATATCCTAAACAGGATATCCGTTTAAATAAACAAAAAAAATCAAATGTTATATACAAAAATATGTCATTATACAATGATTAAACTAATTTACATATAATTTTGTTTTAAATAACTTATTGATATAATTTGATTGATGATAATGGTAACGAGAAAAATCAAAGATTAATCTGAATATTTTTCTGATATGATAATTAAAATTGGAAACTATTTGAGAAAGTGAAGTTATGGTATTGGTTGACCGGTAATCCCCGTATATATATAATTTTTTTTAAAAATACATCGAAAAGATGAAGCTTGTTTTTGCTACTAGAGAACAGCTGGCTTTTTACCAATCACATGATTGAGAGACTATGGGTCCCACATTTCATTTTTTCAAAGAGTTTAGTGTATTTCTCTAATTACCAAATTTTAGTGTCCTACACTTGTCTTTTCTCCCAAACCCAAACTATTTTAATTGGGCCGAGCTCAATAGGCCCACATGCTTTTAAATCCTACTGGTATATTAAACGATACTTCGGTAAACAATGAAATCAGATATAACCGGAAACTCGGTAAGCAGCTAAACCGGGAATGTCGTGCCTTCTATTCTAGGCTTTTTACTTTCGTCACCAGTTCTATAGTTCCGATCA